TATATTTTCCATTGCTTTTCAGAGGGAGAGAGAAACATCAACGTGAGAGAGACACAGCGATTGGTTGCCTCCCACACGCACCCTAACTGGGGCCGGGATCGAGCCTGCAACTTGACCGGAATCCAACCCCAGACCCTTCATTCCGAGGGCCGATGCTCTCACCCCTGAGCCAGCCAAACCAGCTGGGGCTGATGCTTGATCACTTTTGTATCTAAAGACTAAAGTCTTCCATCAGAAAAACATAAGTTTTAATGATTCCTTCTGAATTATCCATCTGTCTCTCTGCGAAGAGCACTGTTTGAAATAGTAGCTTCCATAGTGGCCCTGCCTCTTCTTTTCTCCCATTGTTTCTGTCTCTCTGTCTTTCCCGCTGAGTACCCCATACATCTCTCTCACCGGAGTTTTCTTCACCAGTTTCCTTGGGTATCCACTCTCTTGTCCATATGCGGCTCAGGTAAACTGTCCTGATCAGTCTGTTTCTCTCCTGTGGCTATTGACCTATCTTCACAGATGCAGAATTCTCTTAAATCTTATTGAGATCACCGTTCAGATATTGCTTCATTTTTTCCCTCCTGTTTCTTGCAACAAACTTCTTTTACACAGAAATGTTCCCCCTTTTTACTCAGGGCTCCTTCCTAATGGAGCCCCCAGCATTGCAGAGCTGCCAGAACCCAGCCTCAGGCTTCGCCTTAGCTCTCTCCTGCTTCCTGCCTGGGGACAGTTGAGCTGTGACTTCCAGGTGATGGTGAGGGTGATGGTGATGGTGATGGTGAGGGTGATGGTGATGGTGATGGTGATGGTGAGGGGAAGCAGCAGACCTGGAGGCTGGGAAGTCATCCCTCTTAGCACAGTTCAGTTCAAGTGGTAGGGGGCATGATCTGCAGCCTGAGGGGCCCCCCTTGTTCCCGTCTGGGGCCGTGTGTTTGCCTGTGTTGTGACAATGGCATGCCCTTGCTCTGTCCCAAGGGTGCCCACAGAGCCCTTGCTTATTTCTTCCTGGAGCTCTGCTGGATACATGGCTATTTTTCTGGAATTGTAATTTGGGCAATGTTTGCGCTCCTCTGGCTCCCTGCCTCAGGGTCGGCAGAGAGCATACGCTTGGGTAGTAGCTCCCTGACAGAGAATGGCATGGGACTTTGTGTTATGGCTAAAGAATTCTATGGTATCTTTTTATAACATTCCTATCATCAGCTGATGAACTCCGCATCGCCAGGGCAAAGGAGAGGGCTTGGCCCCCGTCTTCCTACCGTCCACCTGTGTAGGGCTCCGCTGTTACCCACTGAGCTTCTCTTCACACTGCCCTTGTTCAGGCTAAACCAGCTGTTCCTTGGAGGGCACAGAGACGGAAATCATCCTAGACCCTGACCTCCTGTATCCAGTGGAGGAGCGACCTGTCGCTGGTTCTCTCTAACACAATATTCATAAAGTGTGGTCTCTGGTCCTGAGTTACCTGCATCACCTGAGAACTTGCTAGAAATGCACATGATCAGGCCTCACCTCGGACCTACTAAATGAGCACTCCCAGGGCTGGGACCTGACAATCTGTGTGCAGCCCAGGTGGGTCTGATGGGTTCAAGTTCAAGGAGCATGGCTTGAGCAAAAGCAGAAACTGCCACTGTGCCTTCCTCAAAAGTGTCCCAAGAGATGACTCTGAAGAGTATAAAGTGTCCCAAGAGATGACCCTGGAGAGTTGGGTGCTCACTGACAACCCCTAGACTTGGTTTTCGTGTTTACTTGCCATTTCATTTAACTCAATGTTTTCCAAACTGATTTGACCATCAATTCTTTATTCCTGTCCAATACTCTTGGTCCTGGCCCCTCATCACACCCTCTCTTTTCCCAATTCAAAACCTCAGTCCTTGAAGCTCAACACTTCTGAGCTCCAGCTTCAAAGAACTTGTTCAACACCAGGTGAACTTGCGGCTCGGAGTGCCCCCTGGGTCCTGGCTGACGTCTCAGAGAGGAGTCACCACGGCACTTGGGTGGTGCCGGGTGAGGTTGCTAGGGTGAGAGTTGTAGAAAGATTGTGGACTCCAACCTCAGTTTTTCTATCAATAAAATGGGAAAATAAGTCATAATAGACAACTTACCATGCAGTAGTGATTCAGATTTTAAATAAATAGTACATGTGAAAGATCTTTGTAAATTGTATCATGCTACAAAGCGTTCATAATTATTATGCAAAAATTAAGCTGTGTTTTCAGAAGCTCTGTCCCTCTACCTGGCATATAGTAGGTGATTAGGAAATTTCAGTTTCCTTTCAAACAGCTTAGCCCCAAAGCACTAGGGCAGTGCTTCATCCTAGGGGACCTTGTTCCAGCTGACAGGTAAGGATAATTGTAAGTAGCACAGGCACTGTTTTGTGTTCCAGCTTCCTCAGTATTGATTTGTTTATAAAATTTTTTATTTATAAGAAGCACAAAAATAAACCAGCCCAGATTCTGCAGGATGTATCAGAGGTTCTGAATTAATGAGATCCAAATTTATGAGGGTTCTGATTTGTTACTACCTTTTCTTACTCGGCTGCTGCCTGGAGATGGGGTGGGGAGAAAGTGGCCACGGTCTCCCTCTCCCTGGCACTTGTAGTGCACCCCTCCCTACAGCCCTGCCTGTCCCTCCTTTCTCCCCTGATGAAGACAAATTTCTCCAAGTACTAGAGTCTGGTTTCTGGGGCTGTGGTATGGCTTGGGATATGGGCAGAGGCCTCTTAGTTCAGCTCCAATCATTCTATTCTATAAAACTTTGGGTTGTAACCAAGTATTTTATAGCAAGAGAGTTCCTTGTGGAAAGCTGTGTTCCCCGTAGGAGTGAGGTATATGTTCCAGAGTGGAGGGTCTGAGGGAAACAGTGGTAACATTTTCTTATGCTTCTGATGTGCTGGGACAGTGGTTCGCAGAGTTGGTTCCTGGGCCCAACAGCGTCAGCATCAGCAGGTGACTTGATGGAAATGCAAAATCATGAGCCCCACCCCAGGTGTACTGAATCCGAAACTCTGGCAGCAGGGCCAGCAGTCTGTTTGAACACGCCCTCCTGGTTTTTCTTTTGCACACTAGGTTTGAGAACCACTGACCGGGGAGAAGGAAGGAGGGTGGAGCATTATGGAGCTCGGGACTTATATAGTGGGTGCAGCATTTTGGAGCTCAGAACTGGTATAGGGGGTGGAGCATTATGGAGCTTGGGACTTATATAGTGGGTGCAGCATTTTGGAGCTTGGGACTTACACAGTGGGTGGTTCCGGGCACCCAGGAGGGTCCCAGCAAATGGTCATTGAACCCACGTGAATAACTGTATTTAGGCTGTTTCTCCACTTACTCTAGAGCAGTGGTTCTCCTTCCCCCTGACACATTAGAACCACCTGAGAGCTCCTCAAAAATATGCTTTCCTGAGCCCTGCCCAGCCAACTGAATCACAACCCCTGGAGTAGTGTCTAAATGGCTGTGCTTTTAAAACCTTCCAGATGATTCTGACCTGCACCCAGGTCTGAGATCTTCTAATGCACAGGGTGCCCCACTGAGAAAAAACATGGCTTAGGTTGCCTTTATACTTACCACACATTTTCCCATTAGAAATTTATTTTACCTATTTATACTATAGAAATTTCATACTCCTTATAGAAAAAGATGGGAAATATAGAAAAGTTGAAAGGATAGAAGTTATGTTCCAGCTATCCAAAGACAGTCATCACTGTCAGGTGTGTTTTCGTTTAATCTTTTTTTTTTAATGCACTGGTGTGAATTTTTTTACAGCATTGTGATTATATTTAATATAGCATTTTCTGTCCACCTTTTGGCTTAACATTACATCTTAGGTAGTCCTTCACATTGTTAGAATTATAAGTACAGTTTTTAATACGCTCTTGGGGAAACATGTCAAAAATAGGGCTCTTCTCCATTTCCTCACGTACAGACCTCAGGATGGCGTTCAGGGCATTCTTTCTTTCTTTACAGTGTCTGTATTTCAAGCATATTGCAAATGTCAGAAGCAGAACATGGACTCTCTTCTCTTTGAATTTCTTCTTGCAGGATTCTAACCCGCCCTCAGTCTTTTCCTCACCCCACCCCACAGGCGGGCATAGATGGATGCACTAGGCTGCCTGGGGACAAGATCTTATTGCAGAAATTTTGGACAGGAAAGCACAGAAACCTTTCCCCAGTGGTTTATGTTATGATCATAGTTCTACTCGCCAGCTTCAGCTGATGTCGGGTGTCTCCTAAGCCACGAGGCTCTGTTGTTCCGCAGGAGGTGGCATGATTCAGAGGCATGCGCATACGCAGAGCAGCCCCCCAGTCCCACGCCCCTGTGTTTTGGCTAGAAGGAAAGCAAATGAATAAGGCAGGAAAGAGAAGGAAGGAGGCTGAGGCAATGAAGAGGGTGGTAGGACAAACAGCCTGCTGTTCTGATGTGCTCGCACAGAAAGGGAGACGTGTGGCCAAAATCAAGCCGCGTGTCTCCCTTTCCACCCCCCTGCTTTCAGCTCTCAATGTAACCTTCCCAGAGCTTTCTTCTTTGTTGAACCGTTTATATGTGTGTGTGTGTGTGTGTGTGTGTGTGTATATATGTGTGTGTGTGTAATATACACACACGCATATGCACACTTTGTTGCCCAGTAATATATACTATATCTAAATATATTTATATTTGTATGCTATATATTACTATATAAATATTTATATGATGAAATATATATTTTTATAAAATATATATTGTATATTTATATATAAATTTATAAAATTATATATATATATTTTTATTGACTGCTTCTCCTGCCTGAGTTGGGCGCTCGGGCCACCCCGCGGCCGGGGAGCCGGAGCCGCAGCGCGCGCCCGGGTTGNCGTATATTTATATATAAATTTATAAAATTATATATATATTTTTTTATTGACTGCTTCTCTTTCTGCCTGAGTTGGGCGCTCGGGCCACCCCGCGGCCGGGGAGCCGGAGCCGCAGCGCGCGCCCGGGTTGTCGTGGATGCGCAGGTAATTCTGCCCGTCTTCTTGCAGGACATTATGGGAAAGATGCTCACCGAAGTGGAGGAGCTGATCTCCATAACTTCATCTCGTCCGGATTTGTCACGTTAGGAAGAGGACACTCGAAGGGTACAGTGGAAACCGTTTTTTACTAAAATACAGAGGTTGCCTAGGGACCCCCGATGTGAAACCCGAAGATGGTGTGGAGGCCAGAGGAGTGAGTGGGGTGGTTCCGTCGCCGCCGGTTCTGGTGACATGCGTGGCTCTGCCAGGAGCGCCCCGGAGGTCACGGGGGTGACTTTAGAGGGCAATAATAGACTTCCAAGAGACATCCACCCTGCTCCGCCCGTGCGGCGGGGCGGGAACGGCGCCGGCCCCCGTGGGAGGGGACCGCAGGCGGCACGGTGGGGAACACCGCCCACGGAGGCGGCCGCGCTTCCAAAGCGTTCGTTGTCTTCTTGGCTATTATTCCTTTTTTTTTTTTTTTTTTAAAAGCCACGTTTTCTAATCTGTTGTCATGCTGTGTACTGTGGGTTGCAAAAGCCAGCATGCATGTCGAGTTCCAGCGTCCGCAGTGTGTCTGTGCAAACTCTCTATGGTGTGGACGCCAAGGTGGCGGCTCCACAGACCTTCAAGCCGCAAGATGACAGCTACTGTAGCATTTCTGCCGAGCTGCTTTATGACCCAGCTGAGAGCTTGCAGAGCATCCGTGCAGGGGTCTGGAATCCTCGATTCTGTCTTTTGTTTAAACAGAGTCCTGCTAGTGTCGTGAGCATTCTGTCCCATCAAGAGTAACTGGCCCTCTCACTTCCTTGATTACCTTCCTGACACCAGTGTACTGTTATAGAACAACTGTGAACTCTGTCGCAGGGGTGCTGCATCCCTGCCTTCCTCTGAAATATGTGTCTGTTTTAAGTGTGAGTGAACAAGGAACTTTGCGATATTTTCTTACATTCCATGCACCTACTTTTTAAATTCCCTCTGTGATGTTTGTTCATCCTATAGAGAAAAAAAAAATTCTGTATCTGTGTATGTATTCTCTGTTGTGTCTGTTTGTGTCTAAATAAAGTTTATTGAGGATACAGGTGGCATGTGTGGCTAATAAGAGTTGCAGAATCACATGGAGACCAGCTGGCCCCAGAGGTGGAAGTGGGCTACACGGTGAACCAGTGAAATACACAACCCTTAGCCGTCCCCGTATCAGCTCAAACCTGGCTGGCCGACCCCCGGGCCATCCACTTTGTGATAATTATCTATCACTTGTGAAACAAATCACTCTAAAAGGTAGCATTTTAAAATAATAATAAACATTTATTATCTCCCATAGTCCCTGCAGGTCAGGAATTCGGGAGCAGCTGAGCTGGGTGCTCCTGGCTCGGGGTCCCTCATGAGGTTGCAGTTGAGGTGTCAGCAGGAGCTGCATCATCTCAAGGCTTGGCTGGGGCTGGAGAACCTCTTTCTCACGTGGTTCTCTCACGTGGTACCAGCTGTTGGCAGGGGCCTCAGTTTCTCCCTATGCTGTTTTCTCTCTGACGACTTGAGGGTCCTGACATTATGGTGGCTGGGCTTCCTCAGAGAGGGTGACCCAAGGAAGAGAAAGACAGAAGTCACGATGTATTTTATGACCAAATCTATTGGCTGCACAACATCATTTTCACAATATTCTATTGGTTACAAAGTCAGCCCTATTCAGAATGGGAAGAGACTACGCAAGGGTGTGAATAGCAGGTGCCAAGGATCATTGAGGGCCGTTTAGGAGGCTGGTTGCCATGCTCCTACAACCCAAAGAGCAGAGCTGTCAACAGCACGGCGACTCTTACTAAGGTTTCTGAACTGCAGTGGTTTTCCACCCGTATCCCTCCTCCTTGTAGGTGTGGTTTACCTTGAAACACCAAACAGTTCAATCAATAGAACTCATTGTATATGTGTATATGTGTGTGTGTGTGTGTATAAGTCTATATGTATGTGTGTGTGTGTATATATATGTGTATATGTGTGTGTGTGTGTGTGTGTGTGTGTATATATATATATATATATATATAGTTATAACTTTTGGTCCACACATTCATTCAACAACGTTTCATAAGGCTTGCATGTGCCAAGCAATATTCAGAACTAAACAGAAAAGAATCTGTTCTTATGGAGCTTATAATCCATTGGGGGAGCAGACAAAATCAGTTCTCATGACAAGTGCAAGGAGGCAGGGAGCTCCGTGGCCGGGAGCACTGCTGTCTGAGAACGCCTCCTGGATAAGGTAGCAGCTGAGCAGAGGCCTGCATCCCAGGCAGAGGCAGCCCGAAGGCCCTGAGGTGGAAGCCTCCTCGGTGTGAAGAAGTAGGCGGGAGGCAGGGAGAGTGCGGCAGGATAGACGAGGCCAAGGGTAGAGGGAGGCGGGCTCAGAGCCCAGCGGAGCCAGAGCATGCATTTGTCAGGCCGTGGGCGTAAGCCTGCCTTCAGGTTAACTGGACCTCCATCAGAGCAGCATAAAGGCCATCCTCTGTCGTTACCTGTCCCTTGGGTCCCTGTCACCGGGGGCATCCAGGAGGCTCACCCTGCCCTTGTGTGGAGGCTTTGCTGTGGCTGCTGCTTACTCGCTCCCCACCTTACCTTGTTGGGTGGCCTTACCCAGCCCACCTGGATGCGTGGCCTGTCCTCCTGTGCCCATCACCTCTGCCAGGTCTTTCTTCTCCATCCTCTTCCACCAAAGGCTCCGAAACCTCCCCGTTCCAGGAATGTACCTTGTGTGTATTTTCCTATTTAGGTAATAACTAAATTTCATGAGCACAGAGACTGGGGGTGGGGGGTGGGGGCAGAGGAGGGTGCTTTGGAAATGAGGATTCCCTTCTAATATCAGGGTCTCCTTAGTCCCCACACAAACCTAGGTCTCTGCAAAAAGGCCAAGCTCCACTCTCCCCACCTTCAGAGTGAACCAAGTTGAATGCTGAGGGCACCCGTAAGGAAACCGACCCCCTGTGGGTGCCCCATGGGAAGGGGCCACGCAGAAACCTCTAGCACGGCACCAGTCTCCGTCCTGCGTATTTAATTATCTTACATTCCATCCCTTCCTTTGTTTATTCTTTTGTTTCAACTCCAGTTCCTGCCCTTTTCTGGTCCCCCTTCCTTTATTATTATTTTTTCTTTTGTCCTGCATTTGCCTAAGGCCTCTGGGGGCACATGGCCACTGTGTAGACCCAGCGTAACTCTCAGAACTAACGGGGTAGCCAACACGCACTTTAGATGATACCGTCACCCTGCCCGCCCACATCACCGAACTGAGCGTGCACCTCGAATGGGGCTGCTCATCTAAGAACGGAGCCTGGGTGGGCCCTGTTCCGACGGGCACGGTAGCCGTCATTGGGAGCTGGGATGACACTTGTCCCATGTTCCACTGCATGGGCCCCAGAGGCATCATGGAGATAGACATGTCCTTCAACTTCAGAGAGCTCCTGTTATCCCCACGTTACAGGTGAAGACCTGAAAGTAGAGCGGCTGAGTTCACTGCCCTAGGTCAGCAGCACACAGTTAGTATGTTCCCTTCCCAATCCGGGCCTGTTTCCTGGGATTATACCCCCAGCCACGTGTATCCTGCCCCGTGACAGTGGGAGGAGCGGAAGTGGTGCGTGGGCGGTGGCTCAGCGGGAGCCACACGTGGGCGAGCACTCAGTGCCGAAGGCCGTTTTTACTAGAGGTGCACATTCTGCAAGACAGGGCGTGACGAAAAGGAGATGGACCAGGAGAGGAGCATTAACACGGTGTTCGCAGGGTCTGTCCTTTCTGAAAGGAGGTTCATTCCTCTCTAATAATTTTTCAGGGTCTGACTACACCTACGGAGATGCTATTCTACTTAGGTAGTTCGGTTAAAATCTTTCAGGCAGGTTTTTGTGGGGTTTTTTTCTTTCTTGAGTCTGGTAGAAAGAGCCAAAGGCTTTCCAGAAGCCCCTCCACATCAATCGTGTTAACTCCAGTGACCTCCACCAGTGCACCCCAGGCCACCCCAGGTCTGTGTCCCATGGGGCCTTGGCAGCAAGCGCGCATGTGCTCACTGCAGCCGTCTCTGTAAGCAGGCAGCTTGCAGAGTGATTGTGATGTGCCGGTTACTGCCGCCCCTCTTCTGGTATTTTTCTCTGTTCACTAGGCCGTTTCCACCATTCCAGGAGCCAGCGAGAGGGTGTGTGTCTGTGTGAGAGAGATAGGGAGAGGGATCCCGAAGCCTTTGCTAAATGGTTGGAGCTCCGAAGCGATTGCCCCTTTGTAGGAGGTGCACATTACTGCCCCTGTGGGCATTCATTTCACGTGAGCACATTTGCTGAGCATCTGCTCTGTGCCAGACACTGTTCTAGGCGCTGAGGATACAGCAGACAGTAAGAGATCATAGAAATAAAGGATGAAAAAAGTATGAGGCGTGTCAAGATGGAGTTAAGAACTACGGAGCAAAATGAGGCAGAGAAAGGGAGGGAGGAGCTGCCGTTTTTAAAAGAGCATCAGAAGATTGCAGGAAAAGGTGACATTTGAGCAAAGACAGAGGAAGTGAAGGATGGAGTGAGCTGGATTTCTGGGGAAGGGTCCCCCAGGCAGAGGGAGCAGTGATGCCGCGCTCACCTGGCCTGCATGGGGACAGCTATGAGACATGCAGACGGAGCTGACTGTGAGCAGTAGGTTGAGGTCAGAGCGTGGCTGGGGCTTGGACGCACAGGGCCCGTGGGGCCATTTAAGGATCTGGTTTCCACTCTAGGCCACATGAAATACAGAATGTTTTTTACCTGAGGCATTTGGCAGATGGAAGACCGTGGGAGGGACAGGGCTTAGACAGAGGTTGAAGGTGAGGTAAATTCATTCTGGCTTCATATTAAGTTTTAGATGCTTATTAATAATCCATGTGGAAATGTCAAGTTCAAGGGAGATGTCTGGCTGGGATATAAATGTGGGCGTTTGACACGAAGCCAGGAGACTGGGCGAAATTAGCTAGGGAGTCAGTGTCACGTCCCAGGTGAGCAGAGGCTCTAGCAGGGAGCCACTGGGCACCTTCACATGGAGAAGTTGGGGCAATGAGGAGGGACCTACAGAGGAGACTAGTCGAGTGTGAGCAGCCGGGAAGCAAGAAAATCATGGCAGTGTGATGTCTTGGAACT